TTTACTACCAATGTCATTTTATTTATTAAAGGCTGGTATTATTATGGAAACAAATGATATAGGTATTAACATAAATTTAAGCAGTTATTATTAGTTTCAAAATTTCGATTATGTCGCTATCATTTATACAAAACAATTGATAGTTCATTATGACAGTTCCCGAAAAAAATCAGGTTATTTAGTAGGTATTTAGTATGAATTCGTTACACGCGTCAGTGGGCAATTGTGATAAAAAGTACCTCGTTATTTGGAAAAACTCCGTTGTGAGGAAATTCCGTCACTAAGAAATTATACCAAGTTCCTCAACCCGCACTCGGTCACAGTACATACTTCAGGTGTCATGATTAACTCGGGAATTGTTAGCCTGCCTGAATATTATTAATAACATCTTCAGCACTCGATATATTGCAATTTTCATCAAAATAAAAATGTAAATGTCGTGCAAGGCAACTGTCCAAACCTCTAATATATCTCGCAATCCCCGGCGCCGGCAACACGCACTTTAGGTGTTTCTTCCGTTTCGTGCATATTCTGTCTACGTCCAATGTAAATTTCACGTTTTTTTCATAGAATATGTATATTGTTTATAAAATATAGGAGACATACAATAAGAGTATGTTGCTTACATGCATGTAGTACTTATGGTTACAGAAACGTTGTTAACAAAATAAACCTGAATAAACTGTCCCAAATCGCACCTCCTTCGGTGTCCATTTCCTGCTAAATGTTAAAAAAAAAAGTAAATTCTTAAATACAAACATATTTACTTTATAAATAAATACATTAAACACATGTCGAACACGTGTAATGTTTTTGATTTAATTGTATAATATTAATAGTATTTGAATAATTGAACTTTTGTCAAATTATTTTTCTAATTACCTGCGCATTGAAAGTATCTTTATGAGAGAGCTTGTGTCTGACCTTCAACGTTGTTAAACCACTACTATGCCCCGCACACATCCTTCAGGTACCCATAAAACATCGAGAAGGATTCAAGTTCGTTTATGGTAAAAAAATATAATCGTTTGAAGTGCCGAGGGAGGACATTATTTTGAATACGTTCTCTTTCCTTTCGTCGATTTTCATAAGTAAAGTATTTTTCATATTTTCTCTGATGTAGTTAATTATCAATACCACTAAGTATTTATCTAATTTATAATGTTCGTAAAGCTCAAAATGCATTTATTAAAAACAGTCCCAAACCTCACTACCTTCTTCTTCACTACCTTCGTTTACCATCGCTATTTTAAGTGATGGTAATGAGGTCAAAATGATGGTAATTAGAATGTATTTTAGGGGAACCATTTTGTTTTTACTATATTAATGACAACCATTGACAGGTGTATTTATTTGCATGAAACGTGTGTTTATATTTGCAGATATCTCTGTCAGATAAAAATGATTAAAGATGCCGAAGAAAACTAAGCAAATAAAAGAACAGAAACAAGAGCACGATCGAGAAAAAATAAAAACGACATTATGTAAAGAAAAAGTAAGAGAATGCTATACCGCTTTTAGTATACATTTCTCCACCGAATAGCGATACTGAAGTATTCTATCTGGAATAAGGTCCTCTCAATGAACGAACTCAAAATCCATTGACTCAATCATCTATGAACTGCCCTAAAGAAAGCAATTCTTCCAAAGCTTTGCTACCGCCACAAAAACTAATAGGATTACCAAAGAATGACATAGAAAAAAAAATAACAAAGAAGAGGATGCAATTCAGCAAACGCTTTATAGAGTAATGTAAAATACGAAGAAAAATAAAAAAAAGAAGCTTATGTTTGGGGATATTCTTTCAAGAAGTATCAAAGAAGGCTACAAAGGGTTATAGAAAAGGGCAAACGTAAATTTATTCATATCCTTATGACAGAAAAAAAATACAAAAAACTTTTAACGTAGACAAAATTACAGTACGGGAGAAAAAGGAAAAAAGACAGGTAGATCGATAGTTTGGTGAAATTACAGGCACATGGGACTTGTCAACTTATGTCTCAGGGCGACAGGTGCAATTGCAATACCCCTCAGATCTTTGCCATCTATAGTTCTGAGTGGCACTGCAACTATTATGGACAAGCGTGTAGCTTACAATCAGGTGCACGACTTGTTCGTCCCGTTGATATTATAAAAGTTTAACAGAGCTACTAATGACAGAGTTTTACGAAGATGATGTAGTGACTAGAAGTTCAGCAGATATACAGAAATAAGTTTTTTTTTTTTCATGATTAGCCAATACTATCATGATTTTCCACAAGTAAAATCTGTTACGTGATATTATTTAGAATGTGGACATGGCAAAGGAGCGCAAGACGGAGTCATACAGATCAAGCTGTCCATATTTATAATAGTGTTACAGTAGATGCGTTTTGCAAATTCTTGGGTTATATCCGATCTAAAGCAAACATTTGGATGGTTAAAAATCAGTCTGAGAAACTTTATTTTCTCTGTGATAATGTTACTATTCGTAATCACGGGAAACATATTGCCACGTTGATATTTCTCCACATGAAGATGTTAATACACTACAACTTCTTAGGTTTTCTGGATGAGATGAGAATACAACACTAGAGGAAATATCAAATGACATAATAATTTGTAAGTACAATAGCATCAACTAATTTCCAGACGAATTTACAAACAGGCAACACTCACCAAAAATCAAAATACTATATTTACTAACTAATTGGAAAAATAAGCAGTTTTATATTGAAGAGAAAAATATGGATATTTGTATTTTGAAAATTTTATAAAATGTATGAATAATGGTGAAGGTGACAGGGTAGATGTCCAAAATAATAAAAATGGAACGTGTGTGGAGATAACTAAAAGTAAAAAAAATACTGACCGATAGTTTTTGGAGAGAATCTACATTTATTGATTGATTATTTAATTCCTAGTAAGTGTTTTGGGAGAATAATATTTTTTAGTTGTAATGATTATATTACGTAAAATCTGATTGAGGAGTATATCAAGATAATTGTTTTTTGTTCCTATTTTTATAATTTCACTTAAAGATTTCTTTTAGATCTCATAATACTTAATAATATTATGTTTGTTTTATTTTGTAACTCGATATTTTTTAAATGTCGTATATTTGACTGAAAAATAAATTTTTTAATTGTTCCTATTTTATTTTTGACACTGACAATGTTATTTTAACTAATATAAAGTTATGTTTCGATTACATTTTTAAACATTGTTTCGAAATAATTTAACAAAACATTTAAAAAGTACGTAAAACAAGTTTGTTATAATTTCTTTCCATTCTTCCGCATTACCGTCGCACCAACTTTCCCTACCTTTTTTATTATTGTCATTTCCCTCGATGAAGTTCTCATTACCTTCTCACTGCGATATTTTAATCGGTTATAATCTCATAATTATTGACAGTATGAAAGTATAATCTATACTAGATTACAGTATTAACTTCATATTTATATAAAATCGCATAGTTATAACATTTCAACAATAATTCTAAAATTTAGAAATATCACCTAATTTGCACGAAACGGAAGAAACACCCTTTACACGTTTTTGTGGTCTCTCCTTAGGAGAACCTTGCTCAATGTAAAGTGTCTAAAAAGCGTTTTGTTACGACCCAAATCCGATATCTCACAAAATGTCACGATCTATTCAAGGTTTGAATTTAGTTTTATTGCATTACATCATCGTACTTTGTTGTCAATGTTTTGTTAATAGCCGGTAACAAAACAGTAACAAAACAGCAGCAGTGCCATTATACGTACCATTGTGACCTCATAAAAATTCTTATACGTACCTATAACAAATATAACAGTACTCAAGTATTTCCGACATCTGTTTCGTAGTGAGGTTGATTGACATGATGCTGATTTTATATTCACACAACAATCTTTTTTAATTGAGATCATTGCCAACTACGAACAGATCTACAATAATTTCATTCTATAAACCTTTTTGTATACGGGGTTCCTTCAGTTTATAGAAGCGCGTAATGTTTTTGTTTTGCGATTTCTAAACGCGACGCGCAGTTGTCAGTCATTATCATGAAATTAAACACTTTCATGTCGAGGACTCATCACATCACATCAGCTACGCCGGTTACTTAGTCACCAAGCCCCCTCGGGAGGTCATTATCGACATAACTATTTGTGTAACATACCATAAAAATCAGGTCATAGAAAGAACGGTGTGCGGAAGAAAAGCTGACTTTATCTTTGGGAAACTTACCTAGCACACGAATACGTCTTTGTAACCACACGCAACGCAGGAGCCTGGACATCGAGTTGCAGACAACAGCGCATTACACCATACCATACCTCTTTGTACTGGGTACAACTAAATAGATAATAGCATAACAAATAACAAGTAGACACTTTTATCTAGGTACAACTAAATAAAAATCACAATAAGTTAATCTTAAGCCTTACTAAACTTGTGATAAAATCAAGTATTGTGAAAGACACACAACGTAGAGCGCGTCTTGTGATGCGCGGGTGATGAAACCTACGCACCGTAACCAATGACAGTTTTAATGATTTTGTTAGAGATTATTCGAAAATGTTTAAGCGTGTTTGTGTTCCAGCCAAAGTAAATAATAAACATTTTCTACCGCGGGGACGTGGCAAAGACGATTTGGAACATAATGCAAAAGTCATGCCTTGTAACTCAGATTAAGTAGGTACTTAAAAACCGATAATATTGAAATTAGGCTAGTTGGACTTCAAAGTCTCCGAAGGGACAAGTTTAAAGAAATTAACATTCTTACACTGACGCAATACATCTATGAACATAGAAAATAAAATAAAATAGCATTTTGTTGTTTATACGTAGGCAGTTGTTTGTTTCTATTAATATTATTATACAGTTAAGTTAAAAGTTTTTTTGCCATTTTTTGCATGAAATGTTTATCTGAATTGTCCCTAGTAAATAAGTCACAATGTAATAGCTGTTGGTAGACCAAATAAATAAAAAAAACGATTTTTTTTAAAGCATAAGTATTTATACAAGTAAACACACATAAACCGTCTGTTCTTGACAAAGTCACAAAATCATTTAAGTATGAGAGCAATGTATACGTTCCATAATAAGATTCTAATTGATATTCAAAATTAGCTAATTACGCGGTTTAAAACTACCGTGAAACAAAAACAAGCATTAGGTACAGCGTCTGAGTAATTGTATGACAATAATCCACGGTTGTGACCAAACCATTCTTTGGAAATTACAGCAACAAAGCAGACAACTTAATGAATTTCCATAAAATTATTGCAAAGAATATTTTCCTCCAGTGATGTCACCTACCGCATATCATTAACCGATGCGTAGGCGCAAGTGAGTTGCTGGCAATGAATACAACGTTAATATCGACGTTAAGATCACACTTTTTATAATGATGATCACACAATTGTGAATGTTGTCAATCTCATCAGATTTCGTTACTCTGTCTCACTGGGCTTTTATACTAAACACTATAGGCATTTACCACTATAGTAACGGTACGTTAGTCAGGGTGGCAGAGAGTAAACCAAATGGAAAGTATGCTAGTAGGTAGTAGTTAACCTATACTAGTTAATTGAAATTTCAATAGAAAATATCAAATAAAACTATTTAGTATTTAATAGGATGTAATAAATTTTATTATTTTACAAGCTTCTGATCGCAAGTGATAAAAAAGTACAAACATAGTAAATGCTATAAATGCACGGCAATCGCGTAATATACTAATAATGAGTACACATCAAAACTACATTTTTCAACAAAACATGATTAATTCGGTTGTTGGTTCAATTAAGTGGGTTACGCACAGCACCGAATATCTCACTGTCAGGCTAATTTAAATGCTAGATATTTTTTAAATGCCTAAATTATTCTGAAATAGAACGTGTCTAAAGAAGTATTAGCGTAACTTTAATGGAAGCGTTTAAAGTGTTTTGCCCCACGAAGTTAACACGGGCGCGAGCAGCGGCGCCGACGCGCCATCTTGGCTGGGCATGGCGCGCCGCCGGGACCCGGCTGCGCCTGAAACAAGAACACGCCGGGCAACCTCACCTCACTCTACCAACACAAACAAGCGCCACTACGGCACCACGTTCGCTGCGACGTGTAGACTGTACATGTGGCCAAGCGATTATTACTAAATATAAGTAATAAAAATATTAATAGACTTCAACTTTGCTGTACGGTTTTTATATACTTCGTACAATATTATTTACTTTGTGGTGTAAGTAATTTAAGCCTACTATTATCCGTAGTAAACAACCTCGTTGTAGATTAAACACGGTTAGGAATTTCCCACTGCTGAGATAACGCGATTGCACAGTTCACGATTCCGAGACATATCCGTCACTACGCGTACACTCAACGGGTTGTTAGGAAACTTGCGATTGCTTTGCAATCTCGACGTTAGGACGCACTACGACACTAGACAGCCAGGAGTCTGTCAACTGAACTGCTCCACTGCATTTGCTTACAGTAAGATCTACTCACTCTACAGGAAGTGGGTAGGTTTGTTTAAAATATTAATATAACAGATATTCCATAGCTAATGCTAGTTGAAGAGTAATGAGACTCAATGGAGTTAATAAGAGAGGATACGAATTGTTCATGTGAAGAGAGACGTATTGGTGCGCTGAACGTACACTCAGGAGTACGTACGTTAGAACGGCAGCGATTTTAAACACAATGAAGGCTAATTGGGTCATCAATGCCGTTTCTAGACGGATCTAATGAAGCGTTCTAAAGTATTCTAGCGTCAAATCCGATTTAGAATTGTTGTCTGTGCACGTGTAAGGATCCAAGTCAAATTCGTCTTCGAAAAAGTCCGCACGATACCTCTAGGTAAAGCAAGTCTATTCATTATTTCGAGTTGAAGCCGGGAAGCTTGCAAAGCTGCTGTCCACCATGCAATTACCTACTGCTACTAATATCTCTACTTAAGGGACGTACATTGAAATGTGCCCGTTACAACTTTTAGTTGACTCTACAAAAATCTAACGGCATGATATCCACGATCATAGAAGTCTGTAGAACATAATAAGGTTGCATTGTAATTTTGTATATTTGAGATTTGAAGTAAATGTTTGAGGAAGATCGTAAGAAAGATGACGTTGAAGACCACCGGGAAAACGACGATTGACAGATATCGTATATATAGGTAGGTACCTTGTCGGTCGTGAAATCACGGCCACACTTCGCAAAGTTGATGTCAGATGACCAGTGACATTCGCGAAGCTCATTAAAAAGCATAAACCTTCATTGTACCTAGGTACTATGACTAAAATGCTATAAGGGTTGATAAGTTTTATCTATATACATATTTCATATTGTAACTAATGTGGACAAAATTGTCACAGGAAATAAATAACAAAAGGTTTTGTTCAAGCTATTTGGAACACACTAAATTAGACTTGAGCGCCTGCGCGCGAAGTATTTGGGGACACATAAAACGAACACGTATACAATACGAACGAACAGGTACAAATAAAATTATAAAGCATTTTAATTTCAAAAGTCATTAAAACTAAAGTAGCTGTATGATCTAAGACGCGGACCAGCCCTAGACACACCGGGAGTTTTGCATCCTGATACGGATATTATGAAATTACAAATATCATAAAAGGAAAAAGATATACATACGAGAACGGTGCGCTTGCGCTCCTGGTACCCAACGCCACAAGTGACGCTGCAGCGCGACCAGTCGCTCCACGCGCTCACGCGGCAGTCCGCCTCGTTGTCCACCAGTGTCGGATCGCCTACAACTAGCGATATTTTCAGCAACCAACCACAATTCAACGTATTTAGGATGTTAACTAGAGAGATGCGAGCTTGCTCTAGGGTGCATGAACTGACCGCCAAACGTGTTGAAGGTCACCGGCACGATAGAATTGACGCTTGCATGGGGTGCGCCTGCCTGCCCGCTCGCCCCTGTCGCAGCCGCGCCGCCGCCGCCGCCTGGTTAGGACAACATGCATTTCAGTTATGTATCCAACCGATTGTATCTGAGACATATAGCTAGTTTGCTATCTTTTAATATTAAGGACGCTGTTATAGAAGATATAACAGAGTCCCACGACAATGCTCCTACTTTAAGTAGCAACAGTATACTTATTACTAACCATAATTTAAACTGAAAAACACGACAACAGAAAAGTCTAATCGTTTCTATGTAGTACATTAAAATATGCAAGGCTTTTCTGGCAAAACATTAGAAAAATAAGTCTTTTTTTGCACGATACTTCCGTTGACGTGTTTTGTGTTGCAGAACACTGGCTGAAAGACTACGAAGCAATTAACAACATAGAAAATTATGCAATAGTCAATTCGTTCATAAGAGAAAACTTAAGTACAGGCGGATCCATGATTATTATTAAACGTAACTTAAAGTTTAAAGAGCGTAAGGATATCACAGATCTTTCTACTGAACGAACTATTGATATTTCATGTGTGGAATTGGATCAGTTTGTCGTCTTATGTGTATATAGGCCTCCCTCTGCTAATTTTAACAAGTTTGAGTTAATTATGCAAAATAGTTTAAAACGAATTTTCCCAACCAAATAACATACTAATATGTGGAGATTTCAATGTAAACCTGTTGAAAACCTGTTCTACTTCTGTCTAAAACTGTTCTACTCGCTAAATGTGGGGAAATTACATCAATAACTGAGTCTACAACTTTAGTTGATACGCCTTCAGAGATCTTCAGTATTTTTAACATGTATTGATTTAAAAGCTTTTATGAAGTCTTGTGGATATGTTGTGGATTAACATGACGGAAATTAAATAAACTGCCACAAACGTTATCATTTTCCTTTAGGTGATCAAGAGCAAGTGAAGGGGAGGAAAAAATTTAATGATTCTGTAGTGTTCACAGCAATTTCCGAAAAGAATACAGATTACAGATGAGAGAATAGATTTTATAAGTTTGCCGTCTAATTCTAAAAATATATATCTCTATCGTGCTGTTTAACACTGTCTGACTCTTTATTTATTATGCTCCAAGTAGTTTTAGATTTATTTATCGATTGTCTAATTTTGTCGCTGTGAAACTTAACCTTTTACACTACTTTTACCTTTTACTGCTACACAAACTTTTTAAAATATTTTCTAACATATTCTATAAAATTGGAATTAGTATTATAAGTTTTCATAGCATATAGCTCATAGAAACGAGACCTACTCTTATGAATACCTATTGTTGCCCGGTCGTTGAATTTAGTATCTATCTCTATGGAAAGTTAATGTCTTCGATTATAATGTATTTAACATTATCAAATTCATTTTTATTTAAACCAAATATCGTGCTATACAAAGTATTTGGAACCTCTGGTATATGGGGTAGGGAATTTAAACTATTGCCGATATTATTTTGAAATCTAATTTCGCTCTGCGGTAATCGGTCTGCAGAGAAATTGGTCTACTTTCTTGCTCATTTTACAATTAAAAGAAGCCAATTGGCCATTATGGTCTGATCTTAAGCAATTTATTATTGATTTAGACACTGCGTCTGTGTTACAAAAGATGTTATCAATACAAGTAAAAGATTAATCAAGTTAAAACTTTGAAATAAATTAATGAGTCTTACAGAAGTAGAACAGTTTTCCAACAGGTTTACATTGAAATCTCCACATATTATTACGTTGTTTTGGTTAAAAAGTTTTGTTTTTTTTCGTTGTCTCGGCTGCATGAAGTGGATTACGACTTGACGCATTAACTACAAACGTGCAATCAATCTGATAGCAGCCTTGGACCTGTGCAAACCTCGCTTGGTAACCGTTAGAAGTAACCTGACATTCGCCAAGTGCGCAACACTATCCCGGAATACCTCTGCTGGTACACCTACTTTGGTCTATTGTTGTTAGGAAAAGAATACATATGTATGTACCTTTAATCAGCAAGACTTTACACGATGTATGTATTTTAATTTCATTCATTTTTACCGTATCGTAGTGGTCCTATTGTAGCTCGGTTACAAGTACTTACCAAAATATATATTTATGATAATGTAAAAAAGATGAACATATCGCTCCGTTTTTGCAAAACAATCATAAATAATACAAAATGCGTTACTTATTATGCAAGAAGGTACGTCTTGCGATTACCGAACAATAAAAAAGGTTCTAAGGAAATGTGCACATCCGAAACAGAGAGAGACCTCTCGCCGCTTTTCAGGGAAAAGGTGTTTCAGGTATCATTGATGCTATGGAAAAGTCATGAAGCGCCACGTGACCACTTTACGAACGGCAACATACGAAACACCATCAAGAGTCACAAAAGTCGGTTTTTAATTTAACTGGACAAAATTTGCGGCTATAAAGCCACTTTTTTTAAATGTATCTCACTACCTTGGATTCAAATCCTTCATACGAAATATTAGAGATAACAAACAGAGAAAGTAATTTATCATTAATATAATACGTAAAATAATGGTGCCATGTTTAAAATATAGTGATTTCATTGTTTCAAAATCGACGAGTTCACAAAAAAGTACCTATTGGCCAAAAATAAATGTTTTAAGTGATGATGGCATATGAGTAATTAAAGTTGGTTATCTAGACAAGTCAATTTTTATATCATCAGAACAAAACACAGTAAGCGTTTTTTTACAGTAAGCGGAAAATCCGACTTATGACTTTAATGCGCTGTTCGCCGCGGGGGGCGCCAGATGGAAAACTTTAAAGGAAATTCGCTAATAAAATGACCAGCTAATTTTTCTACCTCCGAAATACATTATGCCAGCCGAACCCTCAGAGACAAAACAACTTATATAGAAAATTTGCTGTATCTACTACATATTTTTCCACAGATTGAACAATAACACCAAAGCAATGACTTATCGAGTAATCCCATTAGTTTTTTGCGACTTCTTTTGAGACCTCGCTACGTTTTCCGATTATCGCGCAGAATGGCCGCAGAGCGGCGAGCGAGGTCCCGGCCGCTTGAGCCGGCCGTTACATCATCTCTGATGTCACCGTCTCGTCAGTCTCTTTGTCTATGTTGTCACATTCATTAAATGTCTACTCCCTGTTTAATTGACTCTTCTAACTGCCTTCAGCGTGATTTGAAAGTTCGATTAATGAATACTTCCGTACTTACATAACTTGTAAGGTTACAATAAATCTAAGGGTATGTGTACGTACTTTATCGCAATTTTTGTCTGAAAAGGAACCTACCTGTGCACACAAACGTTTTTAATAATCTCTGTAGCTGAGAAGGTGACTACTTGTTGTAGTGTACGATTTAAACATACCTATATGCGGGCAAAAGCGGCGCGCGACGATTATATTCCGATTACACTTACGGAAGTGGCTGAATTGTAAACAAACGTCGCGCTGCGCAGCCGCTGCGGCACAAACTCAAACTATATCAAAAGTAAAAACAAACCCTGTCTTCGCGCAGTTGCTGTGATCTTTGATTATGAAATAATAATACTTCTATTTAATGCTTATAAAAGTATGTAATAAAAAAAATAAAAAGTATCGTATCCGCAGAAACAAGCCATCCTTTCCTTCTAGGAACATCAAAGTCATACCTACTTTTTTATACGCTATTTTCCGAAAAATTTACAAATAGTGGAATTTTTTCCGGAGAAACTTCTGATAAATTGGAAAAATATAATTCCAAGGCTCATACTATGTTCTTCGCTTAGAAATATCTTTTGAAGTTTTATTTAGCGTGAATTATAAAATAAAATTGTATAGCTTAAAGCAAGTTAGAGAAAAATGAAATTTCAAATGATTGCACAACAGCGAAAAAAGAGAATCTTCTTCTTCTTTTTATTTATTGGCGGAGTCCCTGTAGGATTTCGCCAGCATCTGGTGTTTCGCTCAATACATTTTATCGGCTCCAGTGGGATCAGCTATTCAACAAGTTTTATGGGGGGTACTTTGTTAGAGAGAACAAGCTCATGTAACGAATTTGGAATTTTGGTGTTGCCGACCTGAAGGCTTACAAATACAATAATAGGAGTTGATGGAGTGCTAAATAAGGTACACGCAAATTATAGTCTTACATTATAGCTGGGTACATAATCACAAAAGTCAGTAATAAAAGGGGAATTAACATACAATAAAGTTGATTTATAGTTTGTGGGTTTGGGAACGAACGGGGGAAGGAGATCATACAATGAAATGTTATACTGGTTCCTTCGTCCTACCCACATTCACAGAGAGAGTGTAGGTAAAAATATCTATAAATGGATCCATCATTTTCATTCAGCATCTTTAAACTTTTGACAGGTGTAAACTGTCAAATGTGGTAAAATATAGGAAAAATATATAATAAATATTCGGAAAGATAATTTGATTTTTTTAAATATATGATTTTGTCAAAATGGAAATTTTTCCATGACTCACACTAGTATGAGCAGAAGTTGAGCCTTGTTAAGTAGGCGGTAATACCTGGTCGATATTTCTTTATGCCGACACTGTGGCTAAATTGTAGACGGCAATCCAATAATATTTTGTTTGAGTAAAAAAAAAAATAGGTAGGTTCATAACATTCTTTTATAAGATGTCGCCAAAGATGTCTTTGCGTTTTATAAAGCTGACTGATGATGATGTTGATCAACACAAATCAACAATTTGCTAGATTTGTAGCGAATTCTTATCTGAGAACTCGCCGTGTTCCAGGTACATATCACAAATACAAGAGATTGCGTCTTAGAGGATGAAAAAATAAAGGAATTGCATACAGTGACTTTTATAATTACATAAACAAACTGTAATTTAAATTCTAGCATTAGCAACAGCTGTGACAGTGATGTCAAATATTTAAAAAATGACTATCGAAGGAGAGAATTCCGAAAGCTCAGATTACAAAATTGTTTTGTAAACTGAGTCCGAAAGTATACCATTTTTTCTATTGGAGTCAGGGACATAAATTCAGCTCCATATTATAAAACGTAGTCCTTTATTTTTGTAGTTGTTCTTTCTCTTAAGCGATTAGTTTTATCTATAGGTGTAGAAAATCAGTTATGTTGAGTCTTCATTCTCTTTGTCCACATTGCTATTAAATGTTTCGTTTATTTCATTTTAGTTTTTTGTGAATAAATAAATGTATTTTTGTTTATTTCAGTTGAGGTAAGAACAATCGCACAAACGGATTATGAGTGCAAGTTAAAATGGGTCTTGACTTTGCCGTAGAAATCTTCTGTCATGACAGTTATTTATAACCATGATTGTTCGCTGTGTGTGTCTTTGATGACTTGTTTATTAGATTTAGGAACGGCCAATCGTCTCGATTCATTTCGAGAAATCACGTCGTTTTTTACTAATTGTCGACTTGATCGTTTTCATGAAATAGGTCGCAGACATGCGGCAGTTGCGGCAGCGAACTTTTAGGGAAGTATAAATTCCTCCCGGCAATATTGATATAGATTTACATTTTTCTACTTTTATCAGCTCTTCCTAAAATGCTTGTGTACGCATAGTGACGTATTTGAAACGTCGACTGCGATCAATAATCGTTGAATGAGCTTATGTGAAAATATCAGCAAGGTAAGGGTGATCGCCGCGACTGCGTAGGCATAACGTAGCCAACATTAAACAACACCGCGCTAACTCTTCGACGTGTATTACGTGATGCAGATGACAGCAGGCCTAATGGCGCAGGGCGGTCGTGAAATCCACGTGGGGCAAACAAGGGGTGTAGTGATGACGCGCCACGGAGTCGGGCTGACCGTGACGCGCGTCATTCTCGCTCGCCCCGTCCCGCGTCGCGTCACTTGTCATCGACCACTTCCTAAGGGTATTTGAATTATCTATGTTTAGCGGCGATTTTTCATGAAGACGAAGGATATACTTAAGTGCCTCTCATTTATTAGACACAAATCATTTAAATATCTTTGTCAAATCTTCACTCTTTCCGCCAAAGCTATAGAGAAGGTTCAGCATTCACGATAGCTCATATGTAACATTACCTACTCACTTTCGCGATCACCGTAGATATTATCTACCCAATTTGAGAATAGGTGATGTGTCTACCTACTAGTAGTAGGCACAAGCGTCGCGTGCAAGCCTGTTCGATCACTCATTGATTTATAAGAAACACAGCTAAAGGTTAAATGGCTTCTTTCGTGACTTATGAGTCTACCTCCTGAATAGTTTTGCTTTACTTCACTATCTCTTTCTCTATTTAGATGACCCGTTTAACACTTTATTATTGAATACCAATGAACCTATTGTTTACGATTTGTGGTTATGTCTGTGCCATATACACGAATCTATCATATAAGTTTCAAAACACTTTTATTACAAAAATAGACTATTCAAAGCAGACCACTGATACGATCAGACAATAAAGCACCATGGATATTTAGAAAAATATCACAGCTGTCCCAAACTGAGGTATTGCGTGTTGCGCGGACCTTGACCCAGATAGGGTTCGTGTGCTCGTGGCCGCGCGGCCTGCACCCTTCGCGCGCGGTGCGCGAGTGCACGAAGGAACATCCGGGCTATTTTCGGGGACTAATGGCAATCGCAAGGCCTGCGAGACGCGACGCGTCATCCCTACTGCCGCTCTCTCACGTACTTTCCTCTTTCGTCCTATCAAATATTTACTTTACTTTTTCTGTCCCATCACTATTTACTGACCCGAGATATAGGGTTTTCCGGAGAGGCTATGGGCATGAAGGCAAGACCACGGTACGGCGGGCGTCCGAGCCGAGCCCTCCGCCAGTTATACGTCTTCACGGGCGTCTCTGGCGGACCCGGACTTGGGTATGGACTCGCCGGGGTTTGTGGTAAGCTGCAGGGACGAACACGGTGTGTGACCTGCCGTCGTGGTGTGTGACCGGGGCGTTCGTCCCGCGCGCAGCTAGCGCGTCTTAGTAGCGGTCTAGTTGAGGGCCTGAGGTGAGGAGACGCGCGGGGCACGTGAGTTGCCCTTTAAGTCGGTGACTTTGTCCGGACATTGCCGCAGGACGCTGCCGAAAGTTATGAGACTGTCCCATCACTATTCCTGCCCATCACAATATCAATTCTAGGGTCGGCAGACTAAAGTACATATGTCAAAATCCAACATCATTTTTAAATCAATGCATCTACCGGCTAAAGCGCATAAGTCAAATTCATTTGTTACTTCATAAACTTCGAACTTTATTCTAGAGGTTATTTAACTTCCAACACTAAATGTCTCCGAAAACTTTCATCCGAGATTCAGAATATTTAAATGAGTAGTTACTCACCTAGTACTTACATAAATATTCATCCATTCCCCTGTCGCTTTAGAATTAAGTAAATAAATAAATGATTAGCAAATTATAAACAGTAGATCTTCTTCTTGCTTTACAATGATGTGTCAATATAAGCAGAATTACAACTGGTACAGAACTTTGTAATATCTTAATTAACTCTTATCAATGGAATTTGATTGTTATCTGTTTTGTTGTTCTTTCAATAAATTCTTATACTTAATAAATAAAACGCGACCACGCATCAACGCTTAATATGAATTATCGGTGACTAATAAAAACATTAGGTAAACATTTAAACCGGAACCGGAAACAAAGAAAATTGAAAAGATGACTGATGAAATATGACGACATGAACATTGTTAAAAACAAAAATTGAGTGTGAAAAACAAATCCAAACGAAGCCCTTTGAACAAAACATGTTTAGTCCCCGGATATTGTCCAATAGGTTTCACAAATGTTTACTTCTCTTTTAAAATGTAGTGCTTAAAATAGCTTAGTGCATCCGCGCTGTAGTTGTCAAAGAAATAGCACTCTTTCACGTAAACTAACGGGTATCTTGTTAAAAATCTGTTACTCGATTGTACAACAAATGCCTACAGATAACAGCATGGCATTTTTCGATCCGTGTGGAAAATTTCTCGATTTACATGACAGTTACAGATAGACAGAGTTTAGAGTGTAGAGTTATAGACAGACTCTATGATACAAAGACGGGCTTCGAGCGAGTCAAGGGAGTGAAATAATGTGTATCGTCACGTACCAAGCACGACGTTACAGGTGGCGAGACAGTCCTCTTGCGTAAGGAAATTGTTTCTATTGCCGCGACAGCCGCCGTACGAGAAGGGGACGCACATTGCCTTCGGCGCTACGAAGGCCCAGCGCCGGTACATCCCGCGGCACGGGCCCACCTCCGGCTCCTCCATGCACACTCCTGCGGATCGACCACACGGCCGCGGGTTGGCTCAAGCATTACACATTTATAAGTAGGCGAGTCAAAAGCATTGTCTCTTTGACCAGGACAGGACAAACAAAAGAAAAGCTTAACCGTGGGTGTTAATTTGTTTATGTCGAATACGACCGCATTTGAATTATCATTGTACTTGTACCACTTGTGAGGAAAATTTCGTACGTCTGGTTTCCATTTCGATGGTCTTTGTTTACCTTAGTAATGTAGGTAAAATAATAAATGTAGGCCATACAAATATTTCTCCCGGCTCGGGAATCGAACCCGGAATCTCTGCGTGGCAGTCCAGCACGGCAACCGTTCGACCATGGAGGCAGTTTCGAGATGTGTTATGTAAATAAGCGTCACCGGCGCTCGTTTAGGTCCTATTTTGTAAAGCCTCTGCGCGCTAACGACGTCCTTTGTGCGATACAAAGGTGATCGTTAGACATTACTCTCACGAGTTGCAATTTGACGTCCACGGTAATGTTCCTGTCGTTTTCCTTTTCGCTTGTATATTTCATGTATCGTGTCCAATACAAGCGGCGCGGACGATGCGGCGACAGGAAAAAAAAGATCGAGTCGGCCTTACGCTTAGCGGTTTGCATGTCGAGGGTGCAGTCCTCCTTCTCCTGGCAGGGCCGCTGCTGCACGAGCTCGACCTTGGCGGAGCAGGGCTGCTGGCGGTCGGCGGGCACGAGCAGCAGGCGCGTGCGGAAGCGCACGCCGCGGCCGCACGACGCCGAGCAGGGCGACCACGACGACCAGTCCGTGGCGGGGCACGAGGGGTCCGGCGGCTCCGCGAGGGCGTCCTCGGCGCACGGCGGCTCCATGCACTTGCGGGACTCCTCTGCGACAGCGGGCGGTCAGGCGGGCCCGTACCGCGCGGCCGCGGCGCGGGCGCTGCACTCACCGGTCTGCACGAGCGGGCACCTCTTGGGCCCCATCCGGTCCAGGAAGTGGCGCCTCCGGGTGGCCAGCCCCGCGCCGCAGGTGGCCGAGCACTCGCTCCAGGCGCCCCAGTCGCCGGTGGCGCAGACGGCGCCCGGCGCCGTCGCCGACCGGTCGGCCTCCGCGGCGCCCGCGCGGTCGGCCCTGCGCACAGCCCGCGTTACGGCCCCGCCGCCGCCGACGGGCGCCGGGCGAGGGGCCGGCACTCACTCGCACTCCGGCACGGCGGCGACGCACATCTCCTTGGAGACCAGCTGCCGGTCGCAGCCCAGCATCTGCGCCTTCTGCGGCAGGCGGTACTCGCGCGTGCGCATGCGCAGCCCCTTGCCGCACGGCACCGAGCACGGCGTCCACGCCGTCCACTCCGTGACCGCGCACTCCGCTGCACACACGCGGTTTTAGCCACTACCCGCATGGATCATCTCTACAGGCGACACTCGGTCTGCTAAATCGCCATGGGAACTGATAGATGTTCTGATAAAGCGCATGCTCACGTCTGTTGACGGACTGCGTGTTCTCCGCCTCCTCGGTGACCTGCGAGAGCAGCAGCTGCTCGTCGCAAGACCTGGGCACGATGGCCTCCCGCGAGAGGTACAGCCGCGCCAGAGGCGCGATATCTCCTCCGGGCGCGTAGAAGGGCGCACGTGGATCCTCCGGGTACATGGGCGTGATGCGGTACATCTTCTCGCGAGGCACCGTCTCCGAGTTCGGCGACTGCCCGAATAGATGGAACGAACGAATAGGAAAATATGACACATAATTTTTTTCTTTTTCATTATTAATTCATTTGTACAATGTTGTGCCAAGAGGTACATTACCATGTAAGAGATGCCGTTGTCAGTGCCTGCGTCATAAGGAAAGAGATCCACCACCTTAGACTCCAGCCACGAGCAGTCCTTCTGGCAGAGGTCCAACCCGCTCACACCCACCACCCAGTCGGGAGACGGACCTGTAACGGACTGCCCTTTACTTCACACGTCATCTCTGGCGACTCCTTGTTCTATTCCTACACAACGGAGTAAATCCCAGTGATGGACTGCAACATTTCACTGGGTCCGAGCGTCAATCAACCCTTTATCGTGTGACAAACGTAGACACTTTGGAGAGATCTATGTGCCCTAATGTGATAAACCCACATACGTTCCACTGCTAAACACGGGTTCCCCTGAGAAGAGGGTTTAGGCAATAATCCATCCAAAGGAGTACCGAACATGGAGGCGAGCGAGAACATATGCCGACGTCGGTCCACACTGAACGTGGCCGAGGTGTTGCCATTGAGGCGCGGGTGCCACAGGCCCTGCGCCTTCACGATCGATCGCAGCTGCGGACCCTGCTGCTGCAATTCCCGCTCCAACAGCCCCACGGAGCCCCATTCCGCCAGTGACCTGGCAGCAGACACCATTACGTAACGTTACTTCATTACTAGCTACGCTAAGTAGGTTTGAACTTGAACTGCGGGACAATCATATCTGAGCAAGCTCTACATTTTTATGTAATATTGGCGCTGTGAATGAACGGTCTGAACTAGTACACGTACATTTTATTTAACATTTTCCATCTACAGCTGACAGTAACATCTACAACAACCAACAGCAATCAGAGTTTGTCAAATATTAACCATTACAAGAGCAGAGAAATCACAGTATATTGATTCAGTTACCTAAAACCATCGGTAGCGATCTGCCCTTCGCCCCAGAAGGAGAAGTTCTTCAGATGCGTGGCCCCGATGACGTCGGAGAAGTGTGTCAGCCATAGCGCTTGGGTCGGGAAGTCCTTTGGGTGCGTTTGAGGAGACCATAAACCCTCGAATACCATCTGCGTGTCATCGTAGAATAATAAATGAACTCTCAAAGGCTGCAAAGTATCACGCTGTAGGCCTTCCACAACGGAAAAAGTCTATTTCCCGGTTGCGTAAAGGACCGCTCCGTATCTACCCATAAGTGTTGTAATGAACGAGATGTTGCTAATAATATCCAGGAAATTATTAGCAACGTCTCGACGTACATTAACAGATTACCCGCGATCGCAAAGTTAGGTACCTACACCTCGATTTTAACTCCTTGTTCGTTCAACAGAGGATCATTGTTGATAAACTATACCTTGTACTTGGCATCGTCACAAGCGCAACAGTCGGGTGCGGAGAGAGAGGTGTCCTCGCAGACGCGTCGCGTCAGCTGCCCGTCCTCCGCGAACCACCGGGACTCGTTCTCGTACACCATCGCTCTGCAAACATGCACTCGTTGGAACCTCAAATCTATGTCTGTCACAACTGAATGTACGAAAAGAAGCTAGACTTTTACGACAAAAGCCTTTCCAAAATAAAGGAAATTTTTCCATACCTAATTAACGTAGTTGAGAGTTGGGTATTACCGCGCGACTGGTAATTTCGCGCCTCCGTATATCTCAATAACTACACGCTACTAAGACTTTACAGTGCCCTAGTATCATGCCTGACACGCATGCACGATAAAACTTTATTCTTAGCGATCATTCGAAGAGGATACGTACTGTAAGTATTCACATTTATTTAATATAATTTTACGCGTGATTTTGATGAGACGTAAGCCACTTTATATTTTTATTTAAGTAATTGTTTTAACATATTTGAAAAGTTAAAATATTGTATAATTGATCTGCAAAATCTGTAAGATCTGTGTTTCACAATTTAAAAAAAAAGCACGGTATTATCAGATATGGGCACGGAATTGTAAATTATGCAAATTTTATTTGACAAACATGTTGAATGGAAGAGGAAGTAGAAAAAAGAAACGAACCTAAATAACCTGCTAAGAGGAACGTTTTGAACAGCAACGTAAACAGTGATAAGGATAAAAAAAGAAAAACGTCCAAATAATAAAGATAAGCAAAAATTTCAAAAGGAAAAAGAAAGCTACCCGAAAGAACGTACCGACAGTAGTGAAGTATTTTTAAGACTGCAGACGTACTCAACTTTACTTTCATGCAAAGAGCTACCAAAACTGCAAATTCTTTAAGAAAATAAGTACAAGGAAAGCGAACGTTATTCACCTATCTATTTGTTTAACTTTATTTATTGTTAACATTTTAGTATTCGATTATTTTGCTGTAAAAGATAATATTCTAGACTCTTATTAATACACACGAGCATTATGCCAACTTCAACTTCAACTTTTGTGTCTATGGCTCCGTCGTTTTGCGCGACGATTTTGCCAATGTCAGGGTTGAGACATAAAAATTTGTTTTTGTATTTATATCATACATAACATTGAACGAATTCCAATAAATTTATTGAGCCACGGTTTTATTAAACCTGAGCACGATATTATCAGACCGCGTTTTCACATTTTTTTAGTAATTTTGCAATAACTGCCTTTTGTATTCGTTTATGCAGCTTATGCTATACTATATGTATAGCCAAATAAATTACCTACTTACGACAATAAATTTTGTTGAACCAAGCCTGAGTTTAATTGTAAGCCTTATTGCTAAGGGGCTCGGTGTTACCCAGCTCTCCCCTACAGTTACGTTAAAAAGTTGTAAATGGCAAAAACAGATATCTCAATCGACTCTCAAAACAATATCTACTCACTTGATGAGCACGCATCCCGACCCCGCCGGCGGCGCCTTCCACATGACCTGCACCTCGGTCTTGGGCAAGTCGTCGGCTTCCATCACAGAGTTGACGCACTCCTGGTCGAAGCGCGACAGTGTGTCCGCGAACAACTGGAACTGGCCTTGGCGACCAGGGGAGCGTGGAGCCCCTGGATCAAGAGGATCCAGAACCAGCTTGAAGCGGGTGAACTGCTGCACCACGTCGTGCGTGCGGGATCCCACCAATGTCACTGGCGTAACATATTCACAATGGTGAACAATAGTGACCTCGCTTTAGAGTAACATTAAGCGTAACATAGCTCCAGTATCGCCAATCTATGAATTTGTATTGTTAATATTCAAGAATCCGCAGAAAAGCACATAAGTTCGAAAAATTATTTATGCGTAATATTTGAGCAAATTCACGTCAAAACCAAGTTCTGTCCTTTTAAATACAATCTTGTATTGTGCGATGGCTTTTCACAATTTTCATACAAAACAAAGGGACCCTGGAGTTTTGTATCAATTGAATTATGTGGAATACACTAATTCGCCACCCTGGCTTATTCCGTTATCAATTTACCTTATATCATTTGTAACATTTTTTTCCCTAATGGTGCCTATGATTGTAAGTTTTATTTCTATATCAGGCAGAAATAGATACTTACCGACTCACTAGAGTGCAAAACAAAAATATAAAATAATCTATTTTCGCTTTCGCATCTCGTTCGCATTTTTTAAATATTGTAATCATTTTAAGCATACTACTTAACGTTATTGTTAAAGGAATTGCAACTTGTAACACACTCAAGTTCGTATATCTTATGTAAAATTATGTTTTATGATTTTGTAACTAATAAATAAATTTAAAAAAAAAACTAAATTAGCCATTAAATTAGTTTATAAACCTACTAATACCATTGGGCCTATTTTATAATTGTCTTGAATAAACAATTATTATAATTTAACAATGTTTTGCTAGTTCGTCAAACAGCGACGTACTATGGCTATGTTTCTAAATTGTTGCTAACATCGTTTTAATATTTTAAAGTTACATAATGGTTACTTGTTTTGAGACACCGCGTTGCAGTGACGCTGTTCGTTCATTGTCTTTACTGTAAGTACTAATGGTACTAACTACCGATGTAAAAATATGTGTCGGCAAGATAAGGCGCTGCATCCTGCAGCGAGGCCTTATATCAAATTCCAGCAAAATAGAGCAGCGGAATTCCCTGCCAAACACGTGTGCAAGTTTTAACAAGTATATGAATTAACAACTTTGTAATATCATTATCGCCATTTATCATTAATTTGTGTAGGGACCTACTCTTTAGAACGGGCAATTATCGGGCATGTTCTAGTTGGACAGATACGACCACGAAACGGCATATGATTTCTGCGAAATGCTTCAGCGTTATCTGCTGAGTGTCGGCGAGTGAACCCTGACTAAACTCGAAGTATAAATACTTTTAATGCTCTCATCCGGCGGCTGAGCTTTGGCTCCGCATTGTATTACCGTTGGGTAAGCGTTTTATTCCAGGTCAAGCCAAAGTAGGAGACCGTAATGACTATTGGTACTAAATTGCCATCACAACGTGGCTAAAGTCGGATTAATGAAACACTCACCGACATATCTGTTTCCGGGCGTATAGCGCTCGATCTCGCCGTTGACGACGAGTCTATAGAAGTTGTCGCCGGGCGCCTTGTCCGCCTGCGTTAGCCCCTGCGCCGGCGCTAGCTCGCAGCTCAAAGCCGCACCCGCCAGCGGCAACGCCAGCAAGCACCACGCCAGCATCATTGACTGATTACCACATACTGCAATAACACAATCCCTCGGTGCAGCCGATTGTCTGCCGCACCAATAAATATTCTGGTTACAGTAATAAGTCGCAGATGCTACATCGGGCTGAAGAGCGTGTCCTTCAATTCGTAAAGCAATCGTTTGGAGAAGTAGCTTTTACCGCCGATTAACTATACTCAAATAACTATATAATATATATACTACTATATATATACTACTATATAATATATATATATATACTAAAAAAAAATAACTCAACCCAACGATCTTCTTGAAGTAAAAGTATCTTTTGATGATAATAAATGCAACAAAATTTGTTTACACTATCGTCAACTATTAGTATAAAATATCGGGGCGTGGTTAAAAGGCCTTACAACTAATTTAGGCACCTGTACGTAAACTTCGAAACCTAAAAGATCCGAAAATTAACAACACAGTATATGTACTTAACTGTTTGCGAATCTATAGTTACATACAGCATCACGTGTATTATAAGTGTATTATAAGATGTATTATATATTGATATTGATATATTATAAGTCATCAACTTTAAAAACTTTAGGTATCCCACGACTGATATATTTATAAGGAATTTGATGTTTCTAATGTTCGTCTACTCTTTGTTCAAATTATTGTTCTAAGACAACAGAAATGCCAAAAACGCAATAACAAGTCAGTCAGAAGAATTCACGAGATATAATATGATGTTCTCCTGCATGTGAACTACCTTTGCGCAGAGTTTCTCCTTCTTTTTAGCTCCACTGGTATATCATCAATCACATGAGTAAAGTAAGTAATATAAATAATATGTATAGATTTGTTTGCAAGAGAGTGCTGTCTTTGTTATGAACGAACTGAGGAGCTTATAAAAATAATCGAATAAAATTTTTAATTTCATACATAATAGTTTAGTGCATTAATATACACATTATATAATTTACTATTTTATAATTATCTTAAAATTGCCATATGTGTATAGTAAAATTAATTCGTTATTATTATTATTATTTACTTACCTATTTATATTATAATTATTTATCTATTTTATTATATTTTTTTGTTGTATTGTTTCGAACGTATAACATTGTATTACATTAATAAGTATACATTAACATATACGATAATTTGAAAATTTATCAGCTGTATATTTGTGTATATTTTCATTTTATTTTATTTCGTCTCATTTTTTTCGTCTGGCGAGTTCTATGAAAATAAGTACCTACCTAGATATTAGGAAAATTTACTACTTTTTTACTAATTTATTTACGACTTCAAAACTCTGGGCTCGAGCAACAACTGAATATTGTGTGTGACAACAAGTAAAAGTGGAAAAGGAAACTTACCAACAGAAAGCAGTGTCGTAGAGTGAGTTACGCGCACGCAATGCGCCGCGGCCGGGCGCGATACGAGCGGACTGAGATAAAGGGTCAAGAGTCGCAGTGTCGCCGGTCACGGACTACTTGTGCCCGCTTATTCGGCCGCACTGATACCGCTCACGATGACAACGACGACGACACGCACAAACAACTACACAAAAGTATCTAACCCATCAGAGACGAATATTTTAGTACGTAATTTGTCTTTCATAAATAACACGTATATTACATTTCACTTCATTTCCGTGCCCAATGTGACCCTAACATTAGCACGGGCTCATTTTATGTTTCGAAAGTGATACTTTATCCCCAATTCATAAACATGATATAGGTAACATTTACTTCAGTCTGCCGTGTTTGTCATAATTTGCATCTCCAGTTAGGTAGGCTTAAGAACGCCCAGATCATACTGATACATACTGACAATTCATTGTGGCTCTGGTGCCGTGATGTACCGTGGCGCGCGACGTTTATAGTGCAATCAGGGATTAGGCCAGTAGCTAGTGTTCTGCTCGTCTCCCAACCCCCGCGGCCCGCGCCCTACGCCTTGCGCTGACGTCACGCGGTCAAGGCTGCCGTCTGCCCTACGAGTCCACTAAGGCAAAGCACCTGTCGCCTGTTGTCCACTTGAAAATGGCTCTGTCTATATTTAGGTCAGTCAGCCGGCCCTCGCGATGCCTCGTCATTATCTAATTGGAACAACTAAAGTGCCAACCATAGAAAGACATCAAACGTAATGAACAATAAGTAGGACCTACAGGACGAACCCACAAATACCTAAACGAACTATTGAAACTAAGATTATCCAACAAATGTTCAAATATTATTCATATACATATATTAGGTGAAATCGGATAAATGTCAAAGGCACTTACCTACCTTTCCCGGGTTCTAACAGGCAGTAAGAGCAGAGGACAGGACAGTCGGGCGACTCTCACGCAGCAAGTGACGCTCCCGCAGCGCAAGCGCCGACAGCGCGCAGACGTGTGAGCGTATCGCCACCGCCGCCCACCTCCTCCACAAATTACAGCTAAATATTACTTACTGGACACAGTTCATAAAGAGGAATTACGTACTCAGGCACATTTTAATTGCATTTTAGTAGAATTTTACTTTGTACGTTATAAAATGAAAATAATTGCCTGTGGATTACAGATTAGGTACGTACCTACTAACTTTGGCATTTCTTTAGACGGGTATGGAAATGTATTGTAGTAGTCACTAAATAATAAATCATAATAATAGTACACAAGGTTTACCTACTTTCCTTCGTTCATAAAGAACTCGTAAAGTACCTATAAATACCGTTCCAATAAATTGCGAGACTTTCAGCGTGTCGATACTTGCGCATCTCAGACGAAACATAAGGTACTTAAGCACTTATTTTATATGGTGTTCTTATTATTATTTATTTATATATTATTTAATTATAACCAACCGTATGCCCGCCACCGAAGCATAGAATAAACAATATTTGGTAGTTGTATCAATTTATCTGATCAAAGTAAATTCGTCACTATCAGCAGTGAGAAGCGGCAGGTGTTTGTCCGCGAGTAATAGGCAAAGAAAGACTACACAGGCCTGTCCTAATACTATCCGACCTTCGTCCGTTATTCCGCGCTGGGTCTATTCATTATAATCCGGCTGGCCGGCGTGGCATCCTTCAAAGTGATCTCTATTCGACTGAACAACACGCTCCCATCGGTGCTTCCACATCTCGAAGCAGTTATGGAAGTCAGTTTTCGGAATAGCCTTCAGTACACTCGTGTACAAGTGGCGAAGTTGAATAATCTTGCTTTGCCAAAAACTGTTGGACAAGGTTCAATGATGGGACAAATCTCGTACAAATTTTATATTAATTCTAAATAGACACACAGTAAACATTTGGCCCAAACAGTTTACACACAGTGTGTTAGCGCTGGATGAGGGGTCCGGGTTTCGAAATCTGGCAAGACTAATATGGAAACTACATTGGCTCTGGGCCCTGATTTTAATTGAAATCAGAATCGATCCGATCGGGTACTCGGGCAGCCCGTCCGCAATATTACGTGGTTCGACACGAAAACGACGCACTTTCCGATCGGGAGAGGCAAGCAAAATCAAGCTACTGGTCTGGGTTGTGTCCCGGAGTGAATTTCGTTACTCACATTACAGAGAATTCCTAATTTGCGACAATGAGATCACGTAACTGGTGTGGTTTTCATTTTATTATTATTATCAAATACAAGGTGGACAATTATTAAAATATACCCAATATTTGTTTGCTTGTTGCATATGAATGGTTCAAATCATGAAATTTATCATCAATCTGTGTAAAGTTTTTGCGAATTCCGTAAAAATTTTGTTTCTTCGGGTTAATTGAATTCTGCATTGTAAAAACTGAAACCACAATGCCCGAGCAGACATGTAAGTAATGTAATCATGACCGTGTAATAAGGTGAAGCATCATATCCGCGTCAGTCGCGGTCATTCCACTTCCTTGCGTCGCCGTCGTCGTCGTAGTGGCGAATCCGGAAACCTAATTACACGAGTTAAGCGGCTAACTCGAGCTACCGATCCACCACACTCGGCACCTATTCATTACGTTGCGCGTTGACGGGAAACCAATAAATTTTAAATTAACAATTCGAAGGCGTTTGCAGGTCATTCAGATGCAACAGGCGAAATAATGCTTGGTTTAGATTTATTTGATCAGGGAGCAGCTGCAGGCGCGCGCGCGCGGAGCGTAAATAAAAGCGTTTGGTTAGTTGCCATATTTTATTCAGTCAAACGTTATAGGTAAATATGTACTATGCACGTAGTCGCCGTCACTATAAGGTACAAATCCATTAAATAACTATAGTTTGTATAAGTATTCAATATTTAATATCACATGGTGCGCTTGCTGTGACCACCCAAACACGGTACGATTTTTCATTTCATTGTACATAAGTACCAATTAACGTAATTTAATTGATTTCATATCTACTACACACACACGCGCGCTCACACAGAACATACAAACAGACAACAATTTTGTACAGTAGTTGCGACTAACAACAACCATTTCAAGTTCAAATTCCTTTTACAATATAAAAATTACGCATATGATAATTATAAATATTTAGATTTTGTTTACATTAACATCCGTAAATAATCAAATTAAGGTGGTTGTGTACAGCAAGCGACACCACTCGTCAATTCACAAAGACAACACAAGACATGACCACTGTCTTGTGGTGGCAACTGTCCAAAAAATACTCGCACTTATTGCGCACTGGCTGTTGTTTATTTTGATCTAGAAATAGACTGTTTGTGTCTTTTAAATTGTCTTAAAATGCTTTCGCTTAAATGAAATCTGTATAAATGATAAAGAGCATACAAAAAATTAAGTATTTTATTTAGCACAAAAACTCGTGCCTGCCCTGTTACTGTGCTGTCATGCTGTGACATCACACACAAAGTAAAGGAGTAAGCACAAGTATCGCTCAGTGCAATTTTCAGTAAAAATCGTTGAATATTAGCAGTTCCCGTCGGCACTAATACGTGCGGGGCGCCGCCGCACAGTGGGCTGAAAACGATCGCTAGTGGACTTAGGGGTACTTGAAAATTAAACAACCGCTTTTATAAATATAATGATGGATATTGATTTTACTCACCAATACAATCATAAACAGTTATGTGGATATTTTCGATTGACACAGTAATTTTATAGTTATATGGCTCTGAAATTTTTTTTGTATGGAGAAAAGTGAAATTGGGGTATATCTCTGAAATCTCTATTTTTTTCAAAAAATAATGTATTGATCCATGCAGTTGGAGTCTCGAATTACCATAAAATATATACCTGCACTTGCGGTTCAGTGAGAGTTTTGTAATATAACGGTCTGGGTTGAAAATGTTATAAATTAAAAAAAAACCTATTCCCCACTCATGGTGTAAAGAAGTAGGGCGCATTTGTCATAGTTTCATCCTCAGTATATTTATTGTGATATACATTATATATACTTTCGTTGTACCATGACCTTGTTTAACAACATCAACCAATAAACCCATTTGAACTTTAAAGGCGTCCTGAATAATTTTTTTTCTAGTTTCCATAGCGGCTTTTTGTTCACCTTTCACAACCCATGTTTTCAAATCTAATCTATACGCTATGTGAATCCCGCATAGAGATTCCAATAGTAATCCTATTACAACAGCCTGTATCACTCGGGGATGGTGTTACTTTCTATTAATGAAAGAATTTTCTGAATCGGTTGAGTAGTTCCAGAAATACAAATATTCAAATTTACAAAAATTTACCTCTTTATAATATTGGTATAGATCGAGATACGAAAAAAGTTCCATAACATAAAATTATCATATTGACTAGTAGTATCCGATCCTAACAATTTCAAGTCCACTGTGCGCCGCCGCGTAATATGTACACACACAACCAACTGAAAAAACCTTTTCCTATTGCCTTCCGGTTGTATTTTACTTATTAGCGTTTCGTCGGCTAAATTTGAAAACATCATAACTCAGTTTCTGGACGAAATCACTTTTTTACTCTTCAAAGAGCAATATAACTTAGGCCTTCATTTAGTTATGAAGGTATAATCACAGATAATCGTATTATTTTTAGTAATTCTGTTTTGTGCCTGATATAAAGTTCACATTAAGGATGGTTACGAGGTTTACGAATTTAGCCGACGGTTTCTAAAGAGCTGTAATACAATGTCAACTTTTTATTGGCTTTATGGAAATGGTTGCAAAACTGTCCCTTAAACCAAAATCGTCGCTTTACTTCCTCAAACTCGTATCTTAAAGCACAAAGTTACTGAAATGCAAAAAATGAATTGTATATACACATTTTGCAGGCTGATTTCACATCACATTTCCTTCGTATTCACACACTGGCTTTTACGTACTCTTACAGTAATACATCCAAATTAACACCCTTATGAAATATATGAAAGTGTTGCATCTCCATAAGATACGAGTTTGAGAAAGTAAGGCATGGAAATACTGCATAGTTTTGAAAATGTGTTTCAAAAACAAGCAAATTCAATTAAGTAAATTAAATAACAAAAGTGAATAATAAAAACGATATTGAGATTATCGTGTGTGTGTATATTATTCTTTGGGTAGTAATAAAAACTACGAAAAGTAAATTAAAAATAGGTTTTCGAAATATGATATTACTGCGTTAATTACCGAGCTATCGAAAACTTTTGTGCAAATAAAAATAAGGAATCAACCGAAAAAAACTATATTCTACTCTACCAACTTAATACATGTATTATACTTTAAACTATTGTTGGCCTTATCGGAATAATTTATTATAAATTTAAAAGCGATATATAATTATACATGGCCTAGACTTTGGTGCTTGTCACACTATTCCACCATGAGGAAATATTATGAATAACAACATAGAAACTCCTAAGAAATGTCAAGAGAACAATGGCAAATTCCCATATACATTTTTGTTGATACAATTATGCATCTGATTATGAAATATATGTGAAAATAATAATAACGCACACACTCAACATAGCCCCGCACTAGGGAAACCCTGGGTCGCGGGTGCCATGGACACACATGTAGACAACCACAAATTACACCCAAACTCACGAGAAATAAATGTAGGCCCTACAAATATTTCTCTCGACCCGGGAATCGAACCTGGGACCTCTGCGTGACAGTTCGGCCACGAAGGCAGTTAAAATATGTAGAGTTTAAATTCCTGAACAAATTTAGTGTCGGGTTTACTGTTCTGAGAAGATAAAATTGAAGATATTCCAATTTGAAGTTATATTTGACATAATTGAATGAAATATATTCGGTGTATTGTTATATCAAAATAAACTACAGAAGCCTTCAACAGAGTTATTGTGCCGTGGGGGATGACGAAAGTTCAGAGGAAAATATTTTTTGGTTAATATTTACTAACTCAGGCACAAATTATTTGTGCTTGAGTTAGTAAATATTAACTAACTTGTGAAATATGTCTATCCTATGATATATTTCATATATGTCATATATGAAATATAGCATATTCATTATTATTATATCATATTTTGTCAGTTTTACCACGTTCTCGTCACAAAAAAAGTATTACCTACCGCTGCACACTGCGTGCAAGTTTCAATTGTATCGAAAAATCGTACGTACTAGCTGATTTCACAAAAGCGCCACACGAGTTTCATTCATATTTGTCGCGAAGATGGACTATTGATTGACAGTCTGACTTCGTGACATACATTCAGGCCAAAAAACTTCAATTTTCTTGTTACTATGTTATTTATTTCATTAAATCCGATTCGAAGATCGGTATTCAATATCTGGCGGTCACTACTACGACTCGAATAGGTGCAGAAATTACATTTTTACACGAGAGAATAATAGTGCCATGAATGCCAACATTTATTATTTTATGAATACCTTGCAAACACTTTCATTATAAATGTGAACCGTCTGCCTGTGCCATATGAGATTAGATCAAATATAAATCTACTAATAATCATTTTTAGCCAGCCGATCCCCGCTCACATCCAATCTGGACCCATCAATATAGATTAGCAGACTTGCGGGCTACATCCAGTTTTGTCTCCGTAATTCGAACCTTCGGAAGCAGTACAATCACAAAATTTTAACACAAAAACAAATACTTAATTCATAATTATAAACTCTATTCTTTGGTATCGATCTAATTATCACAATATGCAAAATATTCTTGTTACTGGCAGCGTTGCCAATTTGTGGGGAATTCCCCAAATTGAAATAAAATAAAATTAAAATAAAATTGGATGGGGATTCTAATATTTCATCATTTCGTTTAATCTATTGATTGCTGATGCATCGCCAGTGTGATCGTTACTGTTAGAAACATCGCGCACTGTTATGAACTATATCGATGTGTTTTTCGACATCGCACATTCCTGGCATTACTTTGTAAATAATGCGAGGGATGTGCTGCTGTTGCAGCTTAAATGGAATTATTCCAGATTATCAGAAGACTTGGTTCGGAACTGTAAAATTACCAGTCGGTGCGTGTTGAGTTCGCGAGCCTTTCTCCCGCTTAGGCCGCGGACGGTCCCCGATATGAAGAAAAACGAAATCAGTTATTGATAAACAAAGCCGAGCAGTTGGTACTTCCACACCACAACTTACCACTTGTCAACTTTAAATATTAAATGTAGGTCGAAACTTAATAGTGTCGCCAAATGCGCAACAAATTAAGGTTTGAAAGCTAAAGAAAAATTATTATTTTTTCAAAGACTGATTAATGTTGAATCTCATTAGAATAAATAAACGATTAAAGGTCATCTAATTTTATAATTTGCTTTACATTTTACATTCTGTTGTGATCCATCTATTACGTTAGTAATAAATTTACATTACATTTTGAGTTTCTTAATTCTTTATTATATTTTTAGCGATTTGTAATAAATAATGAAAACTCGGGATGCGGGGAATATGAATTTTGCTCTCCCCAAATTCAGGGATTTTAATCGTGATTTTTGGGGATTTTGAGCAGTAGGCATTGGCAACACTGGTTACTGGTATGTTTTAACAAAAAAAAAAAGGTTCTATAAAAAGGTTCAGTGAGATCGAAAGAGGTACTTAAACCTTGAATCAATAATACGGTCATATTTAACTCCAAAATGACAAGTTAGATCAATATTGATATCGGAAATTTGATGTGACCAGCGTATAAACTAGTTTACCACTAACACATTTGGCAGGAACTTCTATCTCAAACAAAATTGAAATCATCGGCTGATTTACGCTGTCGCAGTGGCTGGCGTTAGTGGCACAGGGGATTACCAGTGTAAACTTTGTCCGTGCCAGTCGCTGGCGCCGACTCGTTCGACAGTCGCACGGTGAAGTAACACAGGTATTGTTTGGTCGTTTGACAAAAGACGATTCACCGCCT